CCCCATCCAGTAGTCGTGCCGGCGGTGCCAGATGTCGTAGATCTTGCCGGAGGAGATGGCAGCCCTTTCCTCGTTCTGCCACAGCGTGTGCAGCTCTGCGGAAGCAGAAGTGAGGCAGCCCGGCCAGGCAGCGGGGCTGCCGGGGACAAGGCACGGCACAGCGCATCAGGCAGGGCAAGCGATGACATTTCCCGGGCAGCTACGGGCACAGCGCAGCACCGAGACACGCTGCTGTGAGGCTGAAGCACCATCCCACCTGCAGCCTTTTTACATGGTTCGCGTTTCTTGCGCGGGTTCAGAGCTGTGCAGAAGCTCTGTGGGAGCGGCCGATGCCTCGTCTCTTGCTCTTACCTGTAAAGCCACCGTCAGCAATGTTGAACATGAATCGGAAGTTCATGTTTCTGTCATCCTTCTTTCCATCATCTTCTTCCTCTTTGTCACCGTTCTGCTGCGCCTCATTTTGCTCCTTCTCCTCCGCCTTGGCATCCTCTGCTCGGCAAACACAAGAAACAGCGCCTGTCTAACTGTACTCTGCCAAAAGACCGACCAGTGTCATCCTTGCCCCATCAGCTGCCAGAGGAACTCCTCGCTAAAGCCATGGTTGGAAAAGCCACCAGCCCGCTCGCTGCTCCACAGCAGCCGACCATCTGCCTCCTCCGGCCGGTGCTGCTCTTTCCACGGCAAGCACGGGCACGGCCCCGCGTAACTGGGTCTTGTTCCTGCTCGTGGCGCTCAGCATCACCCACCAGAAGACAAGCGCCAGCTGCTGCGGGTGCCAACGGCTCTCCTCACCATCGCCCCGCAGACACGCTCCCTTGCCTCTGCGCCAGGCGCCTGCCTTGCTTTGGAGACCCTTCACACCGCTTTTTGCCCCAAAGCCTCCTTGCACCTCACCTGCTCTGACTTCTTTGTCCTCCCCTTTCCCTGGGCTGCTGTTCAACTCCAGCTTCTCCAAAGGCTTCTCCTTCTCTTGAACCCCCTCATCTGCAGAAGGGAACAGGACTATGAGAAAAGCTTGGCGTGCAAAATGCTCTTCAGGGAACCACAACTTAATGTCTGGATAGACTCTCCCTTTTAGAGTAAAGTGTTTCTATGGCATGTACATCCAAGGTGTTTGAAAAACTTCTAACAGAACATTCTTTTGCATTTTATCAAGAAAATGTATTTCGTCTTCCCTCTTCCTTGAGACGTCTGGAGGAATATACTGCTAGGAAGAGAAAATACCCCCCAAAATGAGCACTTCTCATAATGTACAATCTGGAGGCGTCAGTTTCTTTTCAGGAATTGCTACAGGATTTTGTGACATTGAGGTTTCCCACTGTGATCTGGAGAAGAGGAAAACCCAAGCAAGATGGAGGTGCGGGAGCCTTGCACCAGAGGGAAAGCCTGCCCGTCAGGAGCACCAGCGCGCTCGAGCTGGTCTCCACACAACTTCAGCTGCAGAACTTCTCCAGCGCAAATCGCTGCCACTGCCGAGTGCCACAGCCCCACAGAAGTCCCAGCCATGGCCGAGAGGGGAGCCTGCACATGGGGATCGCATGCATCCAAGCCAGAGACCCACCTTTCACCAGAGGCTCGGGAGAAGGCTCAGCCTTTTCATTCTCCTCTTGCTTCTCTTCCCTCGGTTTCTCTTTGCCGTCACAGCTTTCTGGGTGCTCTTCGCTTTCCACCTTCTCCACGCTCGCAGGCACCTTGATGTAAAGTGCCCGCACCGGATCAGCCCAGCCTTGCCCTTTCCTTGGGGAGCATTCCGAGTTTCCGGGCAGGCCACGAGAAGGCTTCCCGGAGGAGGTGCCGAAAGAAGCCACCCTACCTGGCTGTCGGATGCCTTCCTGGACTTCTGCTCCACTTGGTCCTTTTCCTCCTGGAACCCAAGTTGCGTTTCTGTTTTGTCTGTAGCAACAGCAAAGCAAGGAAGGTATTGAACAGGGCCGCGCGCGCTGCCAGGGCAGGCAGACACCTGCAAGACCTTCTGGTGTCTCGGCCCACCGCCCTTCCCCAGCCAGACCGAAGCCACGGTCCCCTGGAAGCCTGTAGGCGCACCCACCTGCAAGGGCCGCAGGTCCTGTGTGCGTATGTGCTGGGCTGGCTGCAACAGGGGTGTTGGGATCTGAAGACACAATCTCGCTGCACTTCTTGCTCTCCGGGCCCTCGAGAATCAGATCTGGGGTGCTGTACTTCCCATTGACGTGCTCGAACTCCTGGACCTGGGGCAGATGCACACCATCAAGTCAAACACAGCAGAGACATTTCCAGCCCGGTCAGAAACGGCTGTGCACCAAGCCTGTGAGATTCGGCAGGGGAACCCTGGCAAGAGGCATTCAGCGGCCAATGAAACACACGAGCCTCCAGAACATACCTGAAAGGGCACATTTAAAATTTTACTCACCCACCTTCTTCCTTACTAGCGACATGACTCCTATGCGAGTCAGCACGTGCTGCCGCGACAGCCCTTCCCGGGGAACACCATCCGCAAAGGTTTCGGCACCGTCTGCCCCAGGTTCACACAAATGTCTCATGAAGAGAGACACGTACGCCCTGTGGAAGGAAAGCCAGGCCTCGGTCCAGCTCGGCCCACGGACTCCCCACTCAGCCAAGGGCCTGCACCCTCTGCTTCCACCCGGGGGCAAGGGCAGAGTCTCACACCCAGGCTAAGATTCAGCCATCATAAAGAGAATGATAGCGGCCCTCTCAAATGAAACAGGCGGTGCCTCCCCAAAAAGAAACCTTGGTGGGGGTGTGCAGGCACTCGGGCCACTGCTGCCCAGCTGGCTTTGTCACAGCACAGCCTCTGCCTTGCCCTGGGGAGCACGGCCAGGGACGGTAACGTGGCAAGACAACAGGGTGATCAGTTCGTCCTGAACGTGCGAGCTAAGTGCTCACCACGATCAAAAGGAGCCCCGGACAGACCTTGCCCTGCCTGCCCAGGACCCCCCGGTACCTGAACTCCTTCTCGCTCTTCCCTCGCAGATCCCGCACCAGCCAGTGAGAGTTGAAGGCGTCCTGGGGCGGCATGCCCCAGCGCATGATAGCGTTCAGGAAAGCCTTGCGCTGGCGGGCGTTGAAGCCGAGAACCTGCAGGGAGCAGAGGTGTTGCTGGGATCACAATGCGGCCTCAGAAGCGTGTGGCATCTCAGTGCCTCACGGCTGTTACAGGCGTGCTGGACCAGGTAATGTGCTGGTGACTCAGCATGGAGGCCAGCCCGCGAGCCCAGGGCAGCCCTGGCCCAACTGCATCGGACGTGCTCTGGCTGTGGCCGGCACTCACCTCGATATTCCCCCCAACTCGTGCCAGCAAAGGAGGGAGAGGCTTGTCCCGGTCACTCTTCAGCTGCCTCCGGGATTGTCTTCTGCCACCTAGAGTCAAGCAGCCCCAGTGATGGATGGGCCCAGGCAGCGAGGCAGCACAGCCAGAGAGCTCAGGTGCCCCAAACCTCCTGCACTCCCTCCCAATGGGAGCGAAACCCAGGCAGAGCAGCAGCCCAGGCTGCAGGCTCCCACCCATCCCGCTGGCCTCCCCGAGCCGGGGCACTCTTCTGCCCTTACCAGGCAAGGGGCTGCCACACCTATTCCTCCGGCAGTCCCCATCCTTCCACCACGAGGACCAGAGCAAGGTCCTGCAGCAGCCAGCGAAGGCAACAGCCGGTTGCCATCCCTGCCCTGGGAATCTCCTCACCTGGCAGGCCAGTGGGGATGCCTCCCCCCAAACGGAGGCCCAGAAGCACGCCAGTCCCTCCAACCCCGATGTTTCTGCTGCACCTGAGTGCCGGCGGCTTCCCGCAGAGCAAAATCCCGTGGAGTATCAAAGGCATTAACTCACTCTGACCTTCTGGCCTCTCTTCAAAGTCTTCATCCTCGTCCTCAGAGCCAATGGAGTACTCCGACTGGTTGTCAGAGAGCTCGTCCTGCCACTCTGCAGACCGCAAGGGAGGCCAGGTCA